AATAGCATAGATTCTCCCCTCCACATTCAAACACTGATTAGTGAGTTTCAACAGCTCTTGCTAGCCACAGCATATGAAATGCCTGCTCTAGTGAGCTTGGATTCCTTATCTTATTAAGTATTTTCTCTGGACCAGGCACTGTATAATCTTTCTGAAGCAAAATCTACTTTAATCTTCCTAGAATTCTACATTGTAGGTATTTTAACCTTATTTTATATATGCAAAAACCAAAACCCAAGAAGAAAAGCAGAAATCCCAAACAGCAAGTGATTCAGCATTCAAACCCTGTTTTGACATCAAAGTCCACACACCAAATGATAGTGCAAGAATTTCCATCATCTAAAACTAGCCCGAGGTTAATCTAACTTTTCACATTATGGGAGATGCCCCCATATTTCACTGGATTCTTTTCTTCTTGTAGTCTCCTTTCCAAGGAGGAGAAATTCACAAAATTTACCTCAAGCATCAAGAGATTTAGTATAAGAATGCACACAGAAACAAGGGAAATATAGGTAGAGCTCGTGGAAGCTAAGAAAGATTGAGCAACTGGACCTCCTCTTGTCTTGCATTCTTAGTGCTGCATTCCTAGTCAAAACTTCATAAAAGATCATTTTTAGCATAATCATACATGGTATATTCTCTTTTCTCTGATTTTCAGACTCTTTAAGATAATGTCATTGCTATCAACTGCCAACTATAGATGGATAGATTAGATAGATGATAGATGATAGATAGATAGATAGATAGATAGATAGATAGATAGATAGATGATAGATAGATAGACAGATAGATACGTAGATAGCCTTAGTTCAAGATCCTCAAAAGAGAAAATCTGATTGATAGCTAACCACCATTATCTCTGCATGGATGGCAGATTGCCCGCCTTTGAGCCTAGTCTAGTCTGATACCTGTAGCCAGAGGGACATGAATATGAGGCATCTGTACTCATGTATGAAACTATCTAGGAGTGCTTCCTTAGCTGGCTGTGAAGTTGGGGAAAGAGCTGTGAGGTGGCAGGCACCATAATTGAGACTGTCCTGGCCATTATCTCAACTACATTTGTCATTACTAAATCTTATTTTCGCTATCTCTTCTGTTTGCTATGTCATAAGCACATGGAGGTCAAAGGTGGTTCTATCTTCCCTTCACTCTAAGTCTGCCCTCTTCACCTCTTTCCATCCATATCTCAGAACTAAGAGTACAGTGCAGAGGCCTTGCTGACATCTAATAAGCATGAACTAATGAATCAAAAAAACCCACAGCCACCTGCTCCCTGGGTCTTAAGGGAAAATATAAGGCTTGAGCTGAATATGTGGTCATTCCCATTCCTGTTAATTTCCCAAGCTCCTCTGTGGGTTGTGTTCTCTGCTCCATTGGGGTGACACAAACATGACAGATGGCACTCTCATGCCCAAGGAGTTTATTCTGCAACCCAGGAAGGGCTATATTTTTTGCTATAAAACTCTTATAAATCTTATAAATCACTCATGCATTTAGGGCAGGAATATTGTGACACAAGAGAGATAAATGCTATTCCATACATGTAAACAGCAGAAATGTGTGGGTGGTTAAGAGATAGATGCATATATATCAGTGAATCCTAAATATTAATTCTTTTGGAGATTTTGATGTATGTATACAACATTAATAGAGTTTCTGCCTTTCTATAAAATGAAGATTTTAATCTGATGGAAGAATATATATTTAAATTGAAGAATTAAAAGTGTCATGTATTAAACTCATTTTAATTTTAAATTTAAACTGTCATGATAATCTAAGGAAGATGACTATAACTATAAAAGGACTAAACAAGCATTTGTAGATTTATCAATAAATTGACAGGTTAGAAGAAAGCTATCAAGATGAATATGAGATAACCAAGAAAAAAATAACAGCATTAAAAATGCATCTAACACAAGTTGGAAAGAAAATGATAAATAGGTATAGAAAACATCGAGAGTATGATGCTTATCTTATTAGAAATTCAGTCTTCAGTATACTAGCTATGTGTAAATCTCATATCTTTGAATAGTAGAGAAAAAATTGTAACCTCTTTTGTTCTCCTTTATGTTGTTTTTTAAAGTTTTTCCTATTACAAATGGTGCATATCCATCATATGTGTACAAGGTTAAAAGGCCATCTATAATCTTTAGTCCAGAAATATATTATAATCATAATCCTTTTAAACTTAATAACATGTCATGAAGATCATTCAGTGAAATTATAAGTTCTTTTACAACTTTTTAAAGGTCCATAACAAAACCAAAGATGTTGTCAAACTGAAATAAACCCTGGATCATCTAGGTTAGCCTTTTCAGCAATGCTTTAATAATCTCTTTAGATGACTGTGAGCCCTTTCTTGACCACTTCAGTCACTGGGAAATCATCAGTTTGCCAGGAAATCCTTACATTTGCTTGCGTGCTCTAATTATGAAAAGTCCTGCCCTATTCTGAATTTTGTTCACCTCCTTTAACTTCTCCCCAGAAGAGCACTGGGCTTGGAATACATTTCAGGTTTTCCCATCCTTTAGTGGCATACCCATAACTAAATCATGTTACTTTACTATACTTTTCTATACAGGCTTTATCTATAAAATCTGGCTAATATTTTTTGCCCCATATTCCTCATAGGGTTGTTAAAAGATTCAAGTAAGAAAATACTTGTGAAAATGACAATACATTTAAAGCAAATATGGATGATAAACATACTTCCTCTTTCACATATATTATTTGCAAATTATCATGTCTACCCCAAGTCCCTTCTCCAAGACAAACTGCCTAATTCTCTTCATCATCTCCTATAAATTATAATATCCAAAATCACTATCTTATGGACTCTTCTGGATACATGCTAATTTGCGAATGTCTCCTATAAAAGGTGCCACACTGAGCTAAACAGGATGATCCTGATGTGGCCGAATGAGTGGAAAATGAAATAGGCTTGTTCTGCCATTACTACGTTTGGCAGTTTGCTGTGGTGCCTTCTGAGATGCAGAGTTTTTCTTATTACCACCACCTATGTCATTTATCAAGAGCTCATTTAATTGCAGCATTTGAGAAAATGTCTTTGAAAAAAATCTTTTAAAAGTCGCAAAATGATCAAAAGAGTAAAATGTAGAAAAACAAATAGTAATAATTTATTTTCTCTAAATCACATGACTGATTGGGTATAAGAGGTATATCTTTCCATTAATGAAAGAAAGAAGGCATTGAATTAGCACCTAAAATAAAGTTTAAGATTTATCTGTGACTTTAAGTTATCCATGATTTTATTTGTACTGTCTTTTCAGGAATAGAAAGAGCAATAATGGGCCCCCCAAATAACAAGCAGAAAATATAACAACCTGCTTGTTTTTATCAGTCACTTCTTTCTTTTTAGAAAGGCAACTCTAAGAAAGTACAAATTATTGGCAGCATATCAGAACATATCATGATCTGTCCCAGAATAATGTGTAAAGTAACTATTTACCAAGTTGGTCAGATGATTTCATGAATTGTTAGCTCGTCTAAGCAAAGGCACACAGGAATCCAAATCTGCTGTATTAACACTTCACTTTCCTTTGAGCTGAATACTTTGTATAGAATGGTAATCTCAAAAAGATAAGAAGGAAAGCAGTCATCCAATCTCCCAGCTCTGCTTGCTGTCTACCTTCATAACCGAAGCAAGTCACTTTATCATTCTCTGACTCTGTTTCTCCACCTGGAAAATCTGGAAAGTCTTACCTATGACTCCTTTCTTTCTATGACTGTTGAGAACTTTAGAGGAAATGCACTTCACACATTCAAAGATTTATGTCAGTGTTATTTTTTCTAACTGCTTACCTAAAGAAAGGGGATGGATTAGAGTTGAAAAAGTAATAAGGAGATGCCATTTGAAGTTGGATTGTTGTTGGCAGAAACCAATGTGGCCAAATGTGGTTTTCTTTTGTATTTCTTTTGCCAATTTCAGCTGGTTTGGGGTTGGCCCATTCTGAAAAATAAGGCTTCTTGGAACATGTCCAAGTAAGAAAAGCAAGCAGGTAGTTTAGTGATAATAAATTTCAAAAACTAATTTTTGTTTCCTGTGACTTTGCAACAAAATGTGTTTTGAGCTGGTCTGAAACCAGAACATCAAAAACCAAATAGTATACAAAAGGCATAACATTGGGGGGAAAATTTCAAGTCAAAAATCAAAATACAGCTCAGTGATTTCAGAAACAAGATTTCTTGTCAAGAATAACTGCCATTAAAATGTTATTAGGCATAAGTGAAAATGATTTTAGGGGGAATGGAACCTAAGGGAGGGTCTGTTTTAGGAAACATAGTGAAATTTTATTTTATTCTCAATTTTCCTAGTCAGGTTTGTCAGATCTCAGAAAAAAATTAGGGGGCTCATTCTCTGCTGAGGGTTTATCACTATTGACATACAAAGATTGAAATTTTTAACTCAGAAAACTTTATCAGCAGAGTCTCTCCAGTTTTCTTTGGCCAGTGAATCACACTAAGAGTCTCTTGAGACCATCAGTGGAGACAAGACCAAAAAATTAAAAAAAAAAAAAAAAGGAAACATGCAAGAGCATGCAGGCGTCACTGGAGCCTTCTGATATAACACACGGAGCCCACGCAGCACGAGAATTGGTCTGGCGTCATTGTTCCATGTTCACTGGATGCTGTAAAGTCTGATTTGCATTAGAAACCTCTGCATTCAATAAACAAAAATAGGGATAATGACCAAAGCGCTATTTGGAACAGAAAACGAACTCAAGCAATGAGTGTTTTCCACTGAATTCATTCAAGATTTTATTAGTTGAGCTCTCACTTAGGTTATTAGGCTCAGCTTGCCTTTAATTTCATTGGCCTCAATTATTCAAAACAAAAGGAGCCCGGTGTGTGTGCGTGAGTGTGTGTGTGTGTGTGTGCGCGCGCACACACACACACACACGGGGACGCATCACACACAGGCTTTGTACATTCTTCACATTGCAAACCCATCAACAAAAGGAGGAAGAAGATCTGAGGGGAATGAGTGGTTTTTGCGGGTTTAGGGATGGAGAATTTCTCTACATAAACAAGAAGGTTTGGATTGGAAGTCTGCTAAAAAAAATGTTACAGCTGACCACAGGGTTGTAAATCCAGACTGGAAGGAGAAGAAGAGAAACATTGCAAGCGAGTGAAGTGTGTGTGGCTGCAATGTTTGTGGGTTAGATGAGAAACAAGCGCTGAGTGAAACCGAGAAGGGGGGTGGCTGGTGTGATTTGTTTGGTGTGCGGAGCCAATAGAAATCCCAGACTGCGATAATATCCCGGTGCAGCGCCGCGCGGAGTCAGAGCCGAGTCTGGGGCCGGTGCACGCCTGCGAGCCGCGGCCCAGGGCGCACCGCGGAGCCGGCTCGCCGCCGCCCCCAGCCCGCGCGCCTCCGCACGCGCGGCCGCGGTGGTCCGGCCGCGGGCCCCCGAAGGCGGCCGAGGGAGAGCCGGCGCACAGTCCGCCGTGGACTCTATAGCTCAGAGGAGAGGGACCCGAGGAGGAGGCTTCCATCACGTCATTGCAGGTACGCAGCTTGTCACGACTAATGTGGCACAGACACGGTTTCTGATTTCTGCCTTCACAAGGCACTGAAAAGTAATTGACGTCGTTGGTTCCACTGTGGGTCGGAGTAGAAAGCACGGTCTATCTTGATTCACCCTCGATTATTAAAGCTGTTAACGTGTGTTTGGAGGCCACGGGGTTTATTCACCTATTGAATTCTCCGTGGGTGTAAAGCAAAGACCTTCAAACTTGACCGTCGTCTCTTTCTTTAAAATAACATCACTATCTGCCTGTTGTCACGCTGCCCACTTATAGATCTTGGTGACCTCCGTTATAGTGGTGACCTAATAGCAAGTCAAACACCGTCTGATTGTTAGAAAGCAGCCTTTGAGCATTCCCACCTACCTATCAGGTTAAGATCCTCCTCTAAGGAATAGGAACCAGAGCGGACTTGAGCATGGTTTTGATCTTTAAAGCGTATGGCCAACGTGGACTAAGCTCATGAGTGAAACAGCACTGGATCGCTTCGCTGTGGTTGAAGAAAGGGAGAGAAGGGAGAGCGAGACTTCTCAATGTGATGGTCAGTGACTCCTCTTCTGTACCTGATTTGTTTTTACATTGTCTTATGAGTTGAAAATGCATTTGTATTCTGCACCCGCAGGCAGGATGAGTTCCAAGACTTCATGTGTTACTACATTGAAAAGTCATGAATTGGAACTGTGTCATAAATGTGACACTTGTGAGGAAATGCCCATTTTTGCTTTGATTTTATTTGATACTAAAATCGGTAGACATGTGGCCACTTCTTTTCCTGTCTATTCATTTTATTTTGAGAAATGAATTTTGTAAAAAAAAAAAAAATCTATTTCCGGGGATTTTACCATGTTTGCTTTCAAATTTTGAAGATGGTTATGTAACTTTTTTCTTCCTGTTGATTACTTGTGATTAAATTAACATTGCTTAATGAGTTCAGTCTTTGCCTTGGAAAAGCCAGTGGGGATCGAATGAAGGCTGAGTTAAAAGATTAGTCTTGCTTTGGGCGATCCTCAAATAACTGGGGTATAGCTGCTCTGAATCCCTGGATAAAGAGCTTTGCCTGCAGTGAAGAACATATACAGATTGGGACTCTAGTTCCACAAGAGAATGGCAGGTGCAGGACCAATGGAGGATGTTATCTTAATAGCACTCTTCTCAGTGGGTTCTTGGTAGAACATATTCAAACCCTCCGTTGCTAATTCACAATCAATTCCCCATTCTGTCATGCCTGCTTTTTAGGGCACGCCTTATCCAAGACATGTGCCTGCCCAAGGTAGATAAGGAAGATATAAGAAAGGTATTTGTTTTACATATCACAATGGAGAATTTACATTGACCTGTGGGGTTTTTTTTTAATCAAATTAATCTTTTGTCATTAAGGAAAGTGCATGCTTAGCTCTACCACGGAGTCTTGAAAACTATTCATATTTTTGCCCAATGCCAAGTTTGAATGATTTCACGGGTATTTTTGAAATCATGTCAAAGAATAGACATGGCAAGTGAATATTTAGGAGAGAGCATTTTGATTTTAGAGATGAATATTTTTCTCTTTCTTATATCACAAAGGAAACTGATTGTCAAGAATTTACCTATTTAAATAAATACTAATTAATTGACCCAACTAAATTCTATTTGCAGCTAAAAGTGTAGTTTTGCATCACCATAAACATTGTTTTCAATCTATAAATATAATATCTGAAATAAATTGAGACCCATTTCCCTCTTGCCATTCAAACTTTAAAGCGATTTTGGGCATGTCGGTAGTGACAAAGTAAATGTGAGGCTGAACATATATATATATACACACTTTGTCTGGACTAAGAGACGCTGATGGCTTTTCAAAGATAAATGTCAACAATGCTTTGATTACTCGTTGTTTTGTGCTATCATTCTTCACTGAGAGAAGTAATCAAAAGTTCATTCCCTGTGCATTTTAGTATGGCCAGCTAGAGCTTTAGATACCCGCAAGTTATAAGTTTGGTAAAGTTTAAACAAGGCACATGCCTTTAACTCTCTTTAAAGTAAACACCTCTTCCTTAGTCCTCTTCTAAAGCAAAGGAATGGAATTAAGCTCCCAGTCTGGGCGCCGGTTCTTATTGATATGGAGAGGACTGGCCGGCCTAGGTCAAGGACAAGCACCGGGAGGCTGCAGAGGCGCAGGTTAGACCAGCCTCATTTGCACCTCAGCATTGCTAGAGCAGTCAGGCCGGGTTGCAAGCATTTTCTCAGTATCAGGACCCTTTAACTATTTAGGAGAAAGTGATGAATTATTGCAACCAAATGTGCCAAGTATTGGGCTTAAAACCAGTCACACAAAGAGCCAGCAAATAAGACAAATTGTTTTGAAGGGGAAAGTATACAGTTATAAACCTGGCCTCTGGTGCCATCTACGCCTGTGTTTGCTTGCCTAGCTGTTTCTCTTCCTACCACAGAGTTCTCTTTTATATAAATTGGACACACTGACCTAATAATGTATAGGATTAATTTTGATCCCAAGTCAGGCTAAAGTATGGTCCTCAAACCACTAATCTAAATAACAGATATTGCCTACGGCCACCACTTCTAGTTGGGAGTATGTCTTTGATTGGCCAGCTCATCCATAGGACCCAGCTCATGTGGATCACTGATTTGCAGAGCGGAGTCCCAGAGCCACATGGCAGTAAGAGAATGAATAGGGAGAGGGTCAAAGTACCACGGGTGTGAGGGGAGATGTTATAAAGATGGACATCCTTAAATACGAATCCAAGAGTCAAAGGAATAATGAGTTTATTTCCTCAAATACGCTTCCAGTATAAACTTTCAGTGAGATTTCCTGAATATTTTAAACAAACTCTCATGTGTACACATGTACCTTGCACACAGGTATGGGATGAAAATAAAGACATTTGATGCGCTGTTAACACTCCCCTACACACAGGCCAGGAGAGGGCAGCACGCAAACTGTAAAAAGTGACGTCTCCTCTTGACCAAGGGGAGACTCCAATCTCCAAAATAGCTAAACCTGTCTCCCTAACTGTATGTGCCTTCTTCCCTTTGAAAAGCTGAGTCTAGAGCCTTACTTGCTAAGGGATACACCATTCAGAAAGATTTGTTTCTACTTTTGCCTCCAGAGTTGGTGCCGCCCAGCAAAATAAAGAAAGCAACCTATTTAAGAGAGAACTCAACTTCTCTTTCTTTGAATTAGCTTCATTCTTTGAAGCTATCCAAGTGCTCTTTATCTTTACTCTGCCAGGAGATGGGTAGGAGAAAGGGAAGTAGAATACAGAGAAAAAAAAAGAAGAGAGAGAATAGGGTTTCTTGAGTTTGTCCTCCAGGGGAAATGTTTATGAACTGCTTTTCTCCATACACCTAGCCTTTGTTTTAAGCATGTCTCAAAGGCAGGTTCAGGGCCACAAGAATACATTTTGTACACTGACAGTCAATAGTGTCTCTAGAATCCTAGTGAATTTGGTTTCAAAACAGAAGAGCTAGAATAGCTTTTTTTTTTTTTTTTTTTTTACTGGTTTCCAGAGTCTAAGACGTGCTAAAAAATAAGAATTATGCATCTACCTCTTAAAATGTCAGAGATTGGTCAAACCTAATCCCTACTACACCTAGTCCAGCCTTTTAGAAACTCATGGCTAATAAGCCTACACTGTTCTTACTTTCACGGATCAGCCATATTCTAGAGACAAACTGTAAATGTGCATAGAAGAGAGAAATAATCACTCTTAAAGTGGGCAACCTGTAGCTGGCAGTGATAATTTCTGCATGCTTCATCCTAATTTAGCTAGATTGGTGACTTTAGCTTCAGGAACACCCTTGTCACCTTGCCATCTTTGGTTCAAATGCCACACAACTTGCTGCTAAATATGAAGGCTGTAGAATGCAGCTTGGGGGGGGTGCTTTAAAACAAAGTCTGGGAGGCCCAGAAAAAAGCAGTCTTGGCAAAAAGCTGAGGTTTCTCCTGAGAGAAGAGGAGGCAGAAGGGACACTGGGCTGGGGATGGGCACACGAGGTGATCGAGAAGCCATGAAAGGGTAGTGCTGAGGCTTCTGGAGAGTGTGACTCCTGGGACCCTCAGGGTCTGCCCAGCAGGGCTCAGCCTTAGAAGCGCTTTTCTCTGGTGCCACTGTACTCTGCTAGGAGGTGTGGTGTCCTTGAATCAAAGCAAAAGGTTTTTTTCAAGGACGAAGTAAAGATTTCTTGGTGTCTGGGAAGAAAGGGAGGTCACTGTGTGTCTCCCCCATTCTCAGCCAGATTAGCCTCTGCAGCACTCCCATGTACTGTCTGGAATGACGCAGTTGCCCCAGGGCTTCTGTGGATGCTTGGGTGAAGGGGGTACATTCGTCCAGGGTCACTGTAGAACCAGGCACAATGCTGTAATCGTGGGGTGCCTGCAACAAGGGAGGGAGAGGTAAATCCTAGGAGCTGAGAAGCTCCACTGCTGTTTCTCAGTTTTTAATATAGTCCTTCCGAGCTCCTTGCAGTCAGAGAAACTCTGGGTTCCATCTCTTTTTTCTAGATTACTTTGCAATAAAGGAATCCCATGACTGAAGGGGAAATCTCTTTGAAGGCACTTCCCTGTTTGAGAGGCAAAGCAGGGTAAGTAAGATTACAGAATGCTGGCAGATACAGTAACCCTCAGGAGAAGACATACCCGATAGTTAGTTCTTAGTCACACTAAGAAAACCCTTCTGAATTGTGAATGCAAGGGAACTAGAGACAAAGGAACTACATGACTTAAGGAAAAAATTCTCCCAAAAGAGTTTTTGAAGGATATGATGCCACGAGCACAAATATTCACAAACATGACTTTCATGTTATGGATTAGTAGTCATTTCAAACTAAAATTCTCCACTCCTATAATTTATTTAAACAGCGAGAGAGGGGGAAAAAGAGAACACACAGAGCAGGGGAACACTTGACTAGCTCATGTGAAATGCTAAGCTGAGTTGACTTTGTCTAGTACAAATACCATCTGCATTAAAAATTATTCTGTTTCTACAGCTGTGACTCTAAAAGCTGGAGGAAGCTAATCTTATCACCTATGGGAAACTCGCCACCTCACTCTGCTTTTATGCAATTACAACACACACCCTGGATAATGCATTAAATTCTCTAATTGTAGTAGGAGTGTTGCAGGAAAGTTGATAGATGTGTGATATTGTACTTACAGTTAATAAAAACCCAGCAGCTCTATGAGATTTCATTGCCGACTGCTTTTTCTAATTTTTCAAATTTTCAAGCTATCTTTAATTTTCCCTTTTTGATCATTTTACAAATTAAGATTCATCTAACATTTGTTGAATGCATAACACATGCCAGGTTATACTAGACACATTCCTGCATAGTATGTAATTTAATCTTTACCACAACTCTGAGGATTTATCTTATGCAAGTTTTATTGATTGAGGCAATTGGTTATAACCAAGAATATAACCATTTATGCAAGCATTCATTCAACAGATAGCTATTGAGCTTCTTCTTTGTATAGCAGTAACAGCAACAGTAATAAAATAGTATGGTTATTGTCGCTAACATGATCCTTTATATTATGTTTCCACATACATGGTTGCACTTAATTCCTGGATAAGCCAGTTACTCACACATGTAAAAACAACAAGCAAACATCTTTCTATACACCAGCTCGTCACTAAGTGATTAAAATTATGTATATGGAAATAATCTTGATTGTTGCTTGATTTACGTCTATAGTCATAGGAGTGTCATTTGATAGAGTATAAACAGATGAAAAATATTCATCCTCAAGCCTACTACTGGAGAGAAAAAATAGATGTGTCCATTTTAACCCCTTGCTGAGGATGTGTTCATGTCTTGGGGCCACTTCCTGTAGCCTGCAGAGAGCACCCCTCATTGTTCCTCATTAAATCTTTGGAGCAATACCTAGACTTCATCTTGACAAATAATATGGAAAAAGTACTTAAGATATCTCACTTCTGTGAATTCAGAGAATGTAAACTTCGGAGAAGACAGACCATAGCATCACTGTGTTTCAGAGGGCCAAATGGCATTAAGACTCCTTTGACCTACTGGAGGGTTATCTGGTTATTATTGAAACTTATTAAGCTAGGAAACTCAGGAGACCGGGTCTGCGCCTGTTCCTGTTATTCACACTGGAAGTGTGGCCTTAGGGAGAACCTGCAATCTCTTGAGTTCACTCTTTAAAAAGAGAAAGCGGAAGTGGATCATCGTATTTCATGCCAGCCCTAAACATCAGTTCTACAAGCTTCCTTCTGTGACGATAGCTGACATTCCTTGAAGGATGACTATTTGTTAAGTATTTTATAGGTATCATCTAATCTTTATCAAAAGCCTAGTATTCTTTTTTTTTTTTCTAAAGCCTGGTATTCTTATTATCTCCACTTTACAGGTGAGATAACTAAGGCTTAGAGAGATTAAGAGCTTTCAAAAATTAACACAGACAAGCAAACTGCAGAACTGGGTTTCACACCCCCCTCCTCCACCTTTTGCATAGCATGTTGCACCTTCATTCACTTATTTATAGTATGTGTAGGGAAGATACTATGTGCAAGGTGCTGTGCAAGGTTATAGGGGATAATCGTGAAGAGCTCAAATAAGTGGGAAAGACAGAGAATACCCTAGTAATTATAATGGTGTTTCCTGAGTATGATAATACAGGATGTTTTGCAAATCTATGGTATTATTTTACCTTATTAACAAAACCATTGGACAATTTAAGTCTGCTGATTATAATAGCTCAACTCTTTTCTTTATATCATTTTGGATATTTCTCCCTCTCCAATATAGTGTGGCGTTAGTCTTCCTTGTGTAATTATTTTTGTCATATGTTTACATCTTTTACTAAATTTTAAATTTCCCTTGAGGACAGAAGCCATATCTTATTCAACTTTTGGTTTCTCAGCACAGAATCGATGCTTAATTAGTTGTACCTCCATTGAGCTCCAGCTACATCTAATTTACAGCTAGGATCAGAGACTCCTGCTTATCTGCTGAAAGGCGCAGTCTTCAAAAAGCTTTAAATACACACATTTAGCATAGGCTAAACAAATGACAAACTCAGTAATTCATCTTGGGGAAAAAACATTTTTTTTTCTTTTTGCTTTGTGTTACTGATCCCTTGTGTTACACATTTTTGTTTAATATGGTCATTTCAGTAAGAAAATCAAACTGTCATTAAAAGTCAATCCTCTTTTTAAACAACTTACTGCTTTGACTTTAAAATACTTTATCAACCATTTTGACACATTTTTCTCCCCAAGTGGGAGACAACTTCATCATTAAAGGGTGCCAAGGTGTTCCTGCAAGTTTATCCTTCATTCCTCTGGGGTTATGTGGGCTGGTCATAACATACTGGAATGCTTGCTAGCTTTCTGGGCTCTGTGCTTTAATTTGGAAATTAACAAAGTCTAGCTCATGCAGAGAAAGTGATAAGGTTACCAAAGATTCTGGAAACAGTGTCGGGTTTTGAATTGGAAGGCTTAATTTGGGAGAAGCAGGAGAGTTCAAGAGGACTGATTTGCCCTATGTGGTTGCAAAGAGCAGATTTTTAAAAATCTCTGTGAAAGAATTCTTTACCGTCGGGTAGTCTATGACAATTCAGGAGGGTCTATGAATTTGGGTGGTAAAGAAATTACATCTATGTTTCTACTGCCCTGAAACTGAAATATCCCACCCCCTTTAGTTATGAATGTGAGCAACATACCACACTAGCATTAGCAGAACTGTCGCCTTATCACCAAATAGAAATCAGAGCTATTTTCATATCACCTCACAGTTGATACAGATGTTTCAAAATATCACTTACACGTATCACTACTTCAAAATTATGGTAGTTATTATACCTATTTCTAGATCTTATTATTAACATGTAAAGAAGACCACATAAATCTATATCACACTTTTGTTTTTAAAATATGTTGGTATATATACATATTTGTGTATTTATACACATATATATGTGTATATATGTATATATGTGTGTGTGTGTGTATACACACATACATAGTTTCCTATTTAGAGTATGCATTTCTGGGAGCGCCTGGGTGGCTCAGTTGGTTAAGCATCTGACTCTTGATTTCAGCTCAGGTGATGATCTCAGGGTCATGAGAGCCAGCCCCGTGTTGGACTCTGAGCTGAGCGTGGAGCCTGCTTAAGATTCTCTTTCTCCTTCTCTCTCTGCCCCTCCCTATTCTCTCTCTCTTAAAAAAAAAAAGAGTATACATTTCTGAACTTAGAAACATTATCCTAAAAAGGAGCTTCAGTAGACCCAAAGGAGGTCCCTGGGGAAAAAATGTAAAACACCTCACTCTATAGGCTGGTAAATTTGGCTTATTAGGTGGCAAACTTTCTATCAACTGAAGTTGCCCCAGATGGAATAGGCCATCCTGTGAGCCAAAGAAGCTTGTGCTGGCAAGGGGCAGTGCGGAGGTGGGGTACTGGATGGATTTCAGTTGAGGGAAGTTATACATCAGACATGGAGTTGGGCATGATGCTGCCACCTAACACTGAGGCTACATGGTCAAGACCAAGAGACAAAGAAAAGTCCATTGCTTTCCTCAATTTCGATTTGCGAGGGTTTGAGCCAACCGGCTTCTGTAAGGAGAGAAGAGTCCTTCGGCGGTGTACATCACACCACCTATCTTTCTGTTTGTTTCTAGGCTAGTCTCAGACATCAGTAAGTACTTGTGAATTGGATGGCTGAGGGCCACAGTTACTGATCAGGTCTGGCTAGTGTCCTAAAGAGTCAGAGACCCACTGCATGGGGTTCCTAGGCATAGATAGCTCTAGGCTGCATTGTAATCGTCTTTTCATTTCTTCTCTCCCCTGCTGTACTGTGAGATACCTAAGGGGCCATGCATTTGCCTCTTGATGTCTCTAGTCCAAGATCCTTCATGTTTGGCAAACAAATTGATGAATGCCCCCTGTAGAGGTCACTGTTGTTGCAGAACCAGTGGCCCCATTTTTTAAAAATAAGGAAGAAAATGCGAGAAAGAATATTTCTGATTTTACTAAATGTAAGTATCATTGTGGGATGGGCTCATGGAGAACAGTTATGGGCCACTGAGTACCCAAATAAAAACCTCAGAGAAGAATCCTGTTCATGGTAAAATGAGCAACCTCTATTCAACTCAGTGGAAGTGTTGATAGCAAATACCTTTCAGGATGGCTGGGCCATGTGGGGTCTGATAACTTTTAGGGAGGTAAAAAAATTTTATTTGGGACTTAATTAAGCTGAGGAGGAGAGAAGTTCGCCTTCACAGAGGATGCCAAGGTGTCCCTGCAAATGTATAGCTCACTCTTCCATTGTTATGGACTCTGGGAAGGTAGTGCTTATGCTGGAAGGCAGAGTTGGGAGGGGACAAGAAAGGACTTATCGAGCGCATACTATGCATTTTAGGTATTTGAACATACAAGATGTCATTGATTTTTATAAAAACTTCTTGCGGTAGGTGCTATTGTCCACATTTTACCAACAAAGAACTGAAGTATATTGAGCTTCAGTAAATTTCTTAACTTCACACGGCCACTAAGTGGCTAAGTAATCATTAATCTAAGAGCTTAAGAACCCCAAATAAAATTCGCTGCCTTTTCACTACAAC